CCTGTGCTGCACTGCTCATAAAACACCTGGTAACACGTTGGCAGTAGCGCTATGAGCACTTGTTTCATTTTGGTTACCCTCAAAGTTACCTTTTGCCTCAGCCCTGTTTGTCATATTTACCTGCTGTCTCGTCTTAAACTTGTGAATTCTATGGGCTGCATCCAAGCAGATTTCTCACTGTTCTTGTCATGCTGCTTATAGGACATATATTGCAATTGAATTCCAAGGCTAGGTTCTGTCCCTGCTATTTCCTCCTCATTGAGCCTACACAAGATACGTTAATGTACATTATAATTTAATGCACTTTACAGGTGCATATCTACATGTGTGCGCCCTTTAATATGCATTAAAAATGGTGATTTAGGTGCAATTAGTTAAAGTGTATTAACACATGTGTAAACGCAACCCAGCACGGCCAGCCACCAGGGGAACATGGCAGGTCTGCAGGGACTTGGCACGTACTTTAATGCCAAGTGCACTAACTTTAGTGCCAATTCCCTGCATGTGTAGACACCTGCCAAAAACCGCTTAATGCACATTAAATTTAGTCCTGCTTAAATGCAAGTGTAGATCATTTAGCCTCCTCTGACACCAGGAAATTACTTAACATGACTAAGGGGAGCAGAATTTATATTCCAGATCTGCCTCAGTCTGTTACAAAGGTAGGGAAGCACGTAATGCTGTCAGGTATACTCTCATTCCTCTTTTCTTTACTCACTTTCCTCCCCCATTTATCAATGCCTCCAAGTGTTGCTTCTTGTCTCTAAACTTGGGGCTTATCTTCACTGCAAGAGGCAGCTCAAGTTAACATACTCAAGTAACTCCACTAGCCCACTGCAAAACCCAAGGCAAAGAACAGTTTGATCAGCTGCACAGTGACACATCACCAGCTGATCAGCTTTTTGCAACTCCAACTATTGCCTCCTCGCTGCCTTGCCAGCTTGAGCATCAGCAGCATTTGGAGTACAATGCTCTTCTGGGCTAACTAATGAGCTTAGAGCATCACTTAACATCAATAGTTTTGTGTGTGGACAAGAGTTGGATTAGGAGAAAAATTCAACATATAAATAACTGCATTGCTGGCTCAAAGACAAACCCTTACTAGCTGTGAACTATAGTATGTTATGTAGGTATTATATACATACCCTAGTTAGTATGTTATGTATCATAATACACACCATATTAAAGTATATGAATATATTAATATTGTTATTTTATAATATGTATGCATATATATATTACTAGTCACTACTGTAATTACTATGTCACTAATGTGATTAGAGAGTTTTTAACCCTGTTATTTAATATAGAGTATTTAGCCATTCAGTAAGTTCGTTCTTCAGTAATGATTTTTTGCTGTGGAAAAGCAGTTTCATTTTGGGAGTTTTTTAAAGCTACGGATGGAAAAAGTCATTTCCACCTCAAGCCGTTTCTACAAATTGGTTTAGAAACAGAGTTAAGGGACAGACAGGTTAAGTATTAAGTAATTTAAGTATTAAGTATTTTAAGTATTAAGTTTAAGTATTTAAACCAGTTTAAGTATTTAAACTTCAGAAGGAACAAGTTTGTTACTGTACTACTTTGAAAGCTTGAAACCTTACACAAATTACCACCATCATTTTTTGGTGCAAAGCTCAGTCTTAACAAATGTGCACTTCTGTTTCTTAAACAGAAGGGTGAGTTAAAGGGATTTTTTATGTAGGTAATGCCTACGTGTGTGTGTGTGTGTGTGTGTGTGTGTGTGTGTGTGTGTGTGTGTGTACACACACACATATATAGTTAGATGCACAGCGTTTTTTAAGTATTTTCTACTGAATTAACATATTAAAAGTGACTGGAGGAAGACTTTTCAGTAACTGCATGGACATGGAAAACAGGTGTACATGTACATCATTCCTTCCAAGCTCTTCTTTATCAGTCGAGTCTAGAAATGAACCGGGAGTAACTAAAGACAAGCCTGAAGGGATAGTAGAACCTGGAGCGGTGTGATAGAGTGCCTGACTATCTGAAAAACAATTCAAACTCAATGCATAACAAGCTTTCCCATCTGTATTTCTCTCAACATGGATTTAAATCTGCAGCAAAATTTCCAGAAATGTTAATTTCGTCCACCTGTATTATTTTTTCAAGTACAAGTTTCTGAGTCTGGATACAGAGGATTACAAAACTATGCGCAATCCGGCCCGGCAGAGATCCCAGAGCAGAGCGCAGGTTGCACAGAAATGTTTAAGTTGCCCGGTCAGACTAATTTGCATTCAAAGAGCGATATGCCATCTTTAGCTGCGCGCTTGATGGCTCAACATAATAATGAAGAGGTTGTTTAAAAAAAGAAAAAAAGAATGCACCCTTCATTTCTTACAAGAGCTTTTTTAATAGAGGAACCTACTACGTATAAAACCCACTGTTAGATGCAGTGGCCTCTACATTGAATATCGATAGGAACTCACTGCGTATAGAGCCCACGACTAAATGCAGGGGGCTCCTCTACCCATAGAAACCCAGAATGAAATGCAGTGGGTCTATGGGGGTCCTAGAGGAACCGCTATGTACGGGGCCCGCTGTTAAATGCAGGGGTTTCTGGCTCTATGGGAACACGCTACATGCAGCGCCTGGTATGAAATGCCGCGGGCTCTGCAGGAATCCAGTCGTACAAAACCTACAATTAAAGCGCCACGGGTGTTATAGGGATGTCGGCTGCATCCGACCAACTCAAGCTCCGTCCCGAGCCCCGCGGCCGCGTCCACGCTGCCCATTGAGCGCTTCCTGAATAAAGTGCTAACAAAACGCCCAGCAGCACCAGCACCAGCACAGGGTTATGTTGTGACCTGCACATTAATGAGCTTAATAACCCCTTTTTTTCCTATTAAAAAAAAAAATCCCGTCCGACCCTCCTTCCCTCCCTCCCCGGGGCCGCCACGCGCTCACCTGCTCCGCGCCGCGCCC